GGTAGATTTCCGATCGTACCTCTAGCCTTGCACGTGTCGGGACTCTTCACAAATGATCCCTGTTATATCTCTTCGTCTTGCTCACATGCGGTCAATGTAAGAACGATATTCACAAAACCTTCTAAAAAATACATACATACTTTTAGCTCATAATTTAACGTACAATGAAACCAATAATCCAATACATACATTCAACAATTAAGTTACCCTGTTTATTAAAAAAGGAGAATTCGTATGACTCAAAAAAACATTTTACTAAAAGGTAAATTCATCTCATCTAATCCGTTGAACAGGAAAAGAAGGTGAAAAACAACAATATTAGTTTTTATACAAAAAATCCGAATAAACACTCATCCCATGCATGGACACCGAAGATGGAGACGTCATTTTACTCAATGGTAACTAATTACAAAAAGTCTTCAATCAAAACCCGCTAAAGCTCTCCCGCCTTGAGTCATCCATTGCACATTTATTATTAATAAAACTAACACACTGGAATTAATAGATTCTTCCGGGGGGGGTGCTTCCATTTTGCAGCAAGTATATCGTCGCTTTTACTAAATTAATGTCTGCATAATATGAGATAATTACAGTGGTGACCAGTATTTCTGCAATTGGTTTTGTTTCATATCAATCTCTTGCCGACACAACAGAGTAAAGCCTAGTACGACCTTACCCTCTGGGTGAAGAATATCGTTATGACTTTTGTGAGAAGTGGATCATCCATATATAATTTGGGTAATAATAGTTATACACTTACATTATGGACACATCGACGAGATTATAATAGGTTTTCTCATTACTTGTAGAAACGACAACTATATACATCTATTATATAAGTACTCCCTACTGATATATATACAGAGATATACAAATCAAAATATTTCCAACCTATGTAGGAGATGACATACGATCAAAGGTTCTAGGCATATACAGGGCACACCAGCAAATAATAGATAAAATATTTAATACGTAGCTCGTGAGCCACCCAGGGAACCTGAACGCTGTCTAGGCTGTCTTGTTAACCGGACGAACAAAGTCGTGGATTAGGGGTGTTTTGGGGTCCCACTGGCATGGAGGGGATAATACAAACAACAAGAGTTGTTATGTTATGGTTATGAGTTATTAATGGGTGGGACTAGTTGTAGATATTAGACATCAAAATAATCTATAGGAGAGACGACAGAAGTAAGGAGAAGTTGACAACACACTCACGGACCTAGCTGTGTTGTCTAGGATGGAAGCAGACGTCATTGAGGGATAGGAGATAGGGAATTGGGTGTATGTGTGAAGGAGATCAGGGAAGGCAGATTGCAGGGAAGAGGTCGGGATGAGGTTAAGGGAAGAGATCAGGGAAGAGGTCATGGGTATGGAGACTCACGGTATAGGGTGAGAGTCAGGGGAAGAGGGATAAGGAGAGTTCAGGGGAAAGAGATAGCAGGGGATGAGGTCAGGGGGAGAGGATCAGAGGAGAGAGGTCAGGGAAGAGTGCGAGGTGTTGAGTTCAGTGAAGGAGTAACAGGGTTTTGAGTTCAGGTGATGTAGTATTACACGAGAATGACAGTTCAGGTAAGGGAGAAGCATGGGTTTGAGGGGTGTCACAGTGTATATGAGTTCAAGGATGAGATCAGGAGTACGAGTATGAGGGAAGAGATCAGAGGAAGGAGTGGCAGGATATGAGTGAGATTCTAGGTGACGAGTTCAGTTGTTAATGGGTTTCAGTGTGTAAGTAGTTAGAGAGGGAGAGTTTAAGTGGAAAGGAGGTAAGGGAAGAGACAAGGGAAGAGTTCACGGTAGTTTGAGTATATTTGGAGATGTCGGTTTTACATAGGGTTTGGAGGTTACATGGACTAAGGCAACCCAGGTCTTGGTCTGTAGCGTACAAGGGCAGCCATTGTGAGCTGTTGTGGTACAGGACGAGGTAGCTAACCCTCTCCCAGGGGCGCGTTCGCTGCGACAGAATGGCATGTGCCCTACTGATGGGTTGACAAGACTTTGAGGGGTTGTTTGGGTACTTAGTACCCCAGGGCACTAATGGCGCATTTACACCGCAGGCCTCGGCTCGGCCTCGCTCGGTTTGGTTAGGCCTTATTAGGCCCGGGCTCACTTTAATGCTGCGCTCACATTACAGTTTAGGAACTGGGGTAGTATCTATAGTAACGCAGTGTAGGCGGAGCCGTGACGTCATCTTCAATGAGCGCCCCAGAAAAACAACACAGCCGTTAGCTCTTAGCACTCAGAGCTCACAGCCCTTCATATCTGTTCAGAAACTAGACACAAGTTAAACAAGTACAAACCACATACTGTCTGTGTCATGGTGAATACAGTCGCTGGTTTATTTATGTCTGTATAGGCCGTTGTTGTGAGTGTGGACGGTCGGAGCATATACAACGTTAGCTTAGCCAAATCTCCATTAGAAAACACGCATTTTAAAAGGTTTTTCGCCTGCCGTCTGTCTGCAGACTTGTCAAAGCATTAATTCATGGTTTTTACTAACCGGTATCAGTATGTTGTTACTTCGGCATCATTTTGAAACGTGTATTACAATTAAATCAAGGTCAAATATGTTCATCTTGTTGTAGTTGTAGCCCCCTTGACAGCGATTCTCTCTCTAGTTTAGCATACTCAGCCCGACTCAGCCCTGTTTGTTGGCCTCGATAGAACCACGATTTAGTCGGGCCAGAAAAAAGGTGAAAAAGTAGCCCCGGGCCGGATCTAGGCCAAGTGGAAGCGCAACCAAAAACAGGCCCCGCACGGCTCGGCACGCTTAAAGCGAGCTCCGCGCTGTAGTGTGAATGCGCCATTAGAGTCAAAACTATGGCCAAAAGTGTGGGTGGAGGGGGTCTGGAGGGCGGGTTTGGGCTGATAGCCCAGGGGCACAGCGGAGGACCCGGAAGGGGTCTCGGGCGGACGGCCCAGGGGCAAGGCAGAGATCAAGGAGGGGGTCTCGGGCGGACGGCCCGGGGGAAAGGCAGGGTTCATGGTGGGGGTCTCAGGCGGAGGGCCCGGGGGCAAGGCAGAGTTCAAAAAGGGGCGAAGGTCACAGCGGGCGAACTCAGGGGGCCAGGCATGAGGGCGAAGGCCGCGGCTGGAAGAATCAGGAGGCCGGGCTCCAGGGCGAAGGCCGCGGCTGGGGAACTCAGGGGGCCGGGCACAAGGACGGGCAAGAAGGCGGCGACGGGACAGCTCCGGAGGACGGGCAGGAAGGCAGCGTAGGCCGCGATGACAGACAGAAAAACCAGAACTTAAATGCACACAAGACTAATCACACAAACAAGACACAGGTGAGGAGGGAGGAGAAAACACAGGGGCACAAGATGAACACAACCGGGTAATCAGGCAAGAGGGAACACAGAGACAGAAAGCAACAGGCAAGGTGGGGGGGGGAAAGAGATGTAATACGGTTTGGGAAAGGCCAGCCCATGGTCTCTGGAGAGAGTATGTGCTGCAGGGAGGTGGATGCACCTCGCACAACGCACCCAGGAACGAAAGCTAGCTCCGGTCCTTTTCCTGTTAGGGAAACTGTGGACTCGATGTCCTGACAGGCTGGAGTTTGTGCAACCTGCACAAACACAATAGCTCACCATGATTACAAATGGTGAAATGCAATGTAAAATTACAAAAAAAATACCAGCTCACTAAATCACAACCGCTCAAACCAACTGCCAACTACTTCCGTGAATTGGGCAGAGTAGGAGTCCAAAAGAGTTGCTCCCCTATGTGACGTAATATGACGCGTTTGACGTATGACGTTAAAAAAATGTTTTAGTGGCAGAGCTCAAAACGGCTACTTTCCCTCTGATTTCCTGCCCTTACATACTTGTATGTCTCGTAAAACATATGAAATACTGCATTAACTTTTTGAATTGTAATTTTCAGGCAAGGTTAAAGGTGGGGTAGGTAATTTTGGAGAAACCCGCTCGAGATCGCTAGAATTTGAAAATACACAACCGGAAAAAATCTGCCAGTTCCTTACAGAACCCCTTTTCCAACACACACGAACGCGCACATGACCAATGAGGGCACAAGATAAGTTTGTGCACAGATGGAAGGCTGACAGGCAGGTAGGCTCAGATGATTGGTCGTGCTTTTTACAGCGCCACGGCTTCAAGAGATGGATTTTTTGTCAAAGCACTTCAGATATTCATTGCTATCTGGATGTTAAGAGCATTCCATGGAATATAACAACAAGTGTATCTTGAGCCGGTTTCTCAAACTTACCTACCCACCTTTAAGCATAAATGTAGTAAAAAAAAAACCTGCAAGTTGCTCTTTAAAGGTCTCCTATTATAATAATTGTATGCATTATATTATAGGTCTCAGATATATAAAAAACATGTCTTTGAAATGTTTTGCTCAAAATACCAAACAGATCATCCATGCTAGCCATGCCTCATACCCCTCTATTTCAGCCCTGTTAGAGGTGCTGATTCTGGGTACGTAGCTTTAAAAAAAAAAGGAGGGGGAGCTTATGCAGGGGAATTCTACCCAGATACTCAGCTAAACGCTGCCGTGATTAAATGCCATATTATGTTCCAAACCACATCAAGGATTATTTCTGAAACAGTATGGAGCTCAAATGCTTTTTCTTTGTTTACCACAAGGTGAGTACCTTTTTATATCCTGCTTTTTTACACAGACTCTCTCCAGTACAGGTTAGCTCTGAGTGTTAGCGATGCTTGCTATTGTAAACAAAGACCATATAACTTCCACAACACGTCGCGCATTGTTTCTGAAATCAACGTTTCTGATCGGGCCGTGCTGCCGATATGATATCGGCAGCAAATCTGGATCAGCTCCGTTGAACCCCTGTTTTTAGAGTTTTGGGTACATAGGAAAAGAGAGAGGGTTTATTTTCTGACACTTTGTGAGTTCCCTTACACACCGGGGACACATATTTATGAATAAAAGACATCAAAAAGTGCATTTTGCTTGAGAGGGGACCTTCAAATATAATTTATATTGTCGGTTCAAACCAGCGTTCCCTTGTGTGTGCTCAGGCCCCCATCCAGCAGTTTGCAGACCGGCTCAGTGGATACTTCGTTCCCTTCATAGTAATCATTTCTCTGCTGACGCTAGTGGCCTGGCTGGCCATCGGGTTTGTCGACTTCGACATTGTGAAGGAGAACTTCCCGGTAGGTGCGCTCACTCAACTTTTCACATGCAAACAAGAGCAGCTTCCATAAAGATTCAAAATGAAATGTTACACCACAGTAACACATTCTCCTCTTCACAGGGTTACAACCAGAACATCTCCAAGGCGGAGGTCATAGTGCGCTTTGCCTTCCAGGCCTCCATCACTGTTCTGTCCATCGCCTGCCCCTGCTCTCTGGGGCTGGCAACCCCGACTGCTGTCATGGTGGGCACGGGGGTCGGGGCCCAGAACGGGATCCTCATTAAAGGAGGCGAGCCGCTGGAGATGGCCCACAAGGCAATGACCATACCATCCTATTTTATAAGAGTTTATTATGGCTTTCTTGTAACGAAAAGTACAAACCCTCCCCCAATCATACCACACCCCAATCATTTCAAAGCATGGGTAAATCATTTCTCCTGACTTCTCCCTCAGATCAACGTGGTGATGTTTGATAAGACCGGTACGATCACTAACGGCGTGCCGCTGGTCACTCGTGTGTTGGTGCTGTGGGAAATGGCCCGCATGCCCCTGAGGAAGATCCTGGCTCTAGTGGGCACAGCAGAGGCCAGCAGCGAGCACCCGCTGGGCATGGCCGTCACCAAACACTGCAAAAAGGTGAGAGAAGCTTCTATTTGTTTGTAAGTATTAGGTTCAAAGCTATTCCTCCCCTCTGCTTCCATTACGAGTGTAACCGGTGTCGACTAGCGGTGTCTGCGTTGCGTTTCTTTTGTTGAAGGATGAGACCTGAGTCAGCATACCGTTGATCAGTTTATTTACCTTACAACAGATATATAACAAATCAGTCGTTAACATATATTTTGGTTTCCCTCACACGTCGACTCCTCTCCCGTGGAACACATTGATAAAAAGGGAAGAGGAAAATGTGAGGGACTCAATATAAAGGGGGGAAGTCCCCACATAATAATAGCAACAAGTCCTCCAACTCATACGACCAAATAGGCCGATTGTTCAGGCCCAATTATTACGACCAAATATGTTGTTTGTTCAAGCTTAATGCGTCCTATAACTACGTTTTAAAGTTTTCGCCCTCTAGTGCTCCCGTTGAATGCAAACGTTACAGATGGTCGTTTATTCACAAATAACCCTCTCTGTAAAATCCTAAATTGTAGGATAGTTTGGCCATTGAAACGCTTTTTGATTAGATTTCTAGCGAGACAGTGTATATTGTACTTTTAGAATCCACGTCCAGTCGATATGTAGGATCTATAGTTTGATAGATATTACGAAGATGATTTGAGGTATGCGGCAGCCTCCATGTAAAGTTACATAATAAAACCAATGATCAAATGAACATTTAATATTCATTAAAGATTAAAAAAAAAGGGGCGGGTCCGCTAAGTGAAACAATAACAACGAAACATGGAGGAACAGAAGTCTGCGTTTAAACCGTGTGTGTGTGTGTGTGTGTGTGTGTGTGTGTGTGTGTGTGTGTGTGTGCGTGTGCGTGTGCGTGCGCGTGCGTGTGTGTGTGTGTGTGCGTGTGCGTGTGCGTGCGCGTGCGTGTGTGTGTGTGTGGTTAAAACACATCAGCCTGCGGTCGCCCTTTAGCCTTAGGATTCTGAAGGTAAACACAGCGTGAAAGGCACTGCGCGCTCCTCTTCTCAGAGGCTGAGTTAACCCTCCCGCTGCCTCCTGGTGCTGCAGAGACTTCATGAAGTGAAGGAGGTTTTCCTTCTATAAAACAGCTGTGGGCAGCAGATACTGTGAGTGTCACGGACATGAATTCATAGATCAAGGCAGAATGGTGCACACACTCTCCTGTTTTGCCAATCCGGTTTTTAAACAAATATAGCTCTAAACCCCTGGCCGACATGTCCTTAAAATGAAGTCTGAGTTCGACATTTTAATTCATTCATTAATTCATTACCTTTCCAACTTCTCATGCAGTTGACTGTTATACCTCATTCACACCAACGATGTTTCAGGGCCGGTTCGGAGCTGGAGCTTGAAAAGCACCGGGTTTTCCTCTTCACACCGCAGCGGAGCAGCCTCTTAGCCTCTTAGCTCCGGAATCC